GCCGCGGCCGGGATCGAACACGCGACGCTCGTGTGAGAGCAGAACATCGTAACCACCACTTTACCGTGGCACACACGTATGAAGCATTGAAGAACAGTAAGATTACTTGTGTCACCGAACGTCAGTGCACGAAAGGCACGTCTTGCAGACCGGCTTTGATTAGCGCGAAGACGAAAAGTAAGCTAACATTGCTATACAGAATCTTACAAGTCATATGTGAATTCCACTTTGTGTGGCTTCTGGCGGACATGAGACGTCTGTCAGAACCGGGAGATTTCCACTACGGTGTCTCTCATAATCATATGGTGGTTTTGGGACGCTAAACCCCTCATATCAATCAATCGAGACTATAGAAGTGGGGATTTTTAGGGCATGACAATAGTTACACCAAGAGAACAAAACGACGACAAGGGGACAAGATGGAGACGCGCACTCGAGCACGGACATGAGAAGTCTGCAGGCAGAGTCCTTGCAGAGCGACAGATGGGCTACAGGCTTTCACACCACAACAAGTGATGTATTTGGCATTCAGGACCTCTTCGCCTTCCATGAGGCATCGTATCCGAGTTTCTGAAACGTCTAGGTGGCGCATAATATCCGTCTTCAAAAATGGTAGAGCCATTCCTAAACAAAAAAGAAAAAGAAGCGCTTCAGTACAGGCCGCGCATGAGCTGAGCGACTTCGATACTCTCTGCGGGCGCCATATTGAACCACCCTATGCGCCCCCGATAGGCGATGGAACCTGCGAATAGTCACACTTTTCAAGAGCTGTCGGGTGCGCGGCTAGGGACGCAGGAGACGTCCATGGCTGATGCCCGAAAAAATAAGAAAAAATGGAAAACCTAAAAAAAGAGTTGTATGAAACTTTACGCACGCATATTTCCCAAACTCACGGCTTCGCACTTAGCCCTATTAAAAAACATTACGACTCCATTCGTACATCACATTAGGAATATCGCGGGACATGTGAAGGACCGGATGGGTGCCCAGTTAACATAATCCAGCGTTGACTCTGCGGCTGGGGCAATGCGAAAATGGCATTTCGTAGTTTGCCTGCATCAACGACATGCTCCTTTTGCGTTGCCCCATCCACAGAGGCAACGCTGGATCCCCAACTGGAGACCTGTGTGGGCACTCACAAAGCACACGCACGCCACCAACGCAGTCTTGGCTACCACCCTGGTCAACCACCTAACTCGATGAGCTGAACGCATGTATTCCGCACAACTACTCCTGGATGTCATTCGGGAAACTGAGCTGTTTCTTTTAACAGTGGAGGTCATGTTTAAGCGGGCCGTAAGAACCATGGGTGGGTGTATGCCGGACGAATTGGGAAAGTCACACACCGAGCGGAGCCGTGCGAGCCTAAAACGAAAGCTTCGCTCGGCTGGATAGTATAGAGCAAGGGAAACAGGTGAAAGAGCAAGAGATAAAAAAAGAAGGACATAGAAAGTGAAAAAAAATACAGAAAAAAAATTGACGGAAAGAAACACTTCGAAATATAGATAAAGTTCATTAATAAATAAAAATCAGAAAGAGAAAATTAGAAATATAAAGAAATATGGAAGGAAAAAAACGACCAGGAAAAAGCGAGTGTTAAACCAAAGAGATAGAAAGACTGGGAAGGTTATCGAAAAAGCGAAAGCGCGAACATACACGCAAAAAGCGAGAAAAACAGAGCAAGGCAAAAGAAAAAGCAAAGAAAGAAGTATTTCAGGTAGGAAGATAGAGAATAAAAAGCAACGGGTAAAAAATTTTATGCAAACAATAGATATAAGATGGCTACAGGCTTTCACGCCACAAGTGGTGTGTTTGGCATTCAGGATCTCTTCACCATCAGTGAGGCATCGTATCCGAGTTTGTGAAACGTTTGGGTGGCGCATAATATCCGAGTGCAAAAAGGGCAGAGCCATCGCGAAGAAAAAAAAAAGCACTCCAGTGCAGGTCGCACATGTACTCAGCGACTGCGATACTGTCTGTGGGCGCCATATTGAACCGCCCTATGCAACCCCTATAGGCGATGAAACTTGCGAATAGTGCACTGACAGTGTACAGCACACGGGCCTTCACCACTACCCGTCCATCACAACGCGGCTACCACAGCCAATTCGCACGCTGTTTTAGATTTCTTGAGTTGAAAGTTCTCTCTGGCTGTTGGCACCTCGGTGCTACCTGCCACCAGCCACCTTTTATTAAACACCGTAGAGGAGATGAACTTCGGCCCGACGGGGAGAACACGCCGGTAGGCTGCAGCGCGCCAAGATTTCACGGTAGATATCATCTCGTCTTATGCCACAGCGGCGTACCGGTACCATAAACAGAGGCTCACCTAACGCCGCCAGCATAAAGAGAGGCGCACACATTACACGGCTGCACTACGGTGCTAACAAGCCCGAACCACAGAACACCTACCAGTTTAGAGAACGGAAACTGTACCATTGGGCTGTTGTATCGAAATAACATGCAAATACGTAGAGGCGACGTACTGAACTGCAATACCACTAGGCGAGATGGCGCTGGTAGTACTATCATTATCAATAAACAGACGCATTTTTTTGCTGCAGGTGGGAGGCTTGCTGCTGGTTTGCGCTGCTGGCTTCCTTTGTTATTCTGTTTTTTTTCTCGTTGCTAAATCGCGGTTCGCATGTGTAATTATCCCAAGGTGACGTAACTCGCCACGACTGGCAAAAACAACGACAATCAAGTAAGGTTTGCATCGTTTATTGCAAGTTTCCAAGCGGGTACAACCTATGCATATATTGAGGTCCGCACAAAACAAGTCACTGATACATATCAAAAGCTTTCAACCCATTTGTAAACACTCTTGAAAGCTAACAAGCATATGCATATAACAGAACATCGAGATCGCTGAATGACCGTCGCTCTCATTGTGTTGCGGCGTTGAGTTTAACGGCGTGGCTTCAAGACAAGGGTCCGATTCTACCGTCACATGCGGTGCTTACCCTGTAGTATTTATTTATTAAATTATTTTCCTCAAGGGTCCCTAACAAAAGGAACATTACATGAGGGGTGGGCATACAAGACTTGGGTAAAAGCAAAGTTGGATGTGCAACAAAACAAAAAACAGAAATTTTAGGACATGGCAGGTGGGGGCTCGCTGCTGGTTCGTGCTGCTGGCTTCCTCTGCTATTTAGTTTTTTTTTCGTTGCTAAATCGTGGTTCGCGTGCGTAATTATCGCCAGGTGACCTTGAATTGATCTTGAAGTGAAGTGAATGCATGATGTGGAATCGCGAAGGAAACTTGGGCATTGCCGATTGATGGCTCGTGCAGTGAGAGCAATGTAGTTTTGCTAAATTTGTTAAACGATTGCGGATGCGTGCAGTTCTGAAACTTTCTCGCTCCGCAATGCTACATTGAGTACTTTACAATTGTGCAAGGTCCCGTCCTGTTGACAAGGTAGGTACTATATTTAATTCTCAGCCGTGAGCCCATAGCATAGGTAATATATATTTAGGTGATGGGCCTAAAAAATATTTCAGGCTTGCCACATTTGTTGTTAGAGTTATGTTACACAGTTACTATAGCTAGAATTTCTCGTCGCAGGTAATGACCGGTCTGCTGAGTATGCAGCTAACATGTATGCTAAAGGAACAGAGTTATGAGGTGTGTGCTTACAGATCGAACAGGCCCAATTCCAAGAAAATAAGATTTATGCATGCATTGTACATTTTTGTTAGCCTAATAATGTAAAAGGCTCTGCTCAGCACAATCTCTTTTTTGCATAGACGTATCGATGGAACTGGAACACTTCCTTGCAAGCAAGCACTCCCGACATCAGTTGGTAGTACATGATGTGAATCTGTCCAAATACTGAATCAATAAAGATCGCATTTATTATACACTTGTTATTGTGTTTACCTTTTCAGTATATTTGTGCTTGAAAGCTGAAGTTGTTTTCTCCCTGCTACTTTTAGAGGTTAGAACTTGAAATACGTACTATCTTACCGCGTGGCTGTAGATAAGTCAAGATCGTGCATGTTTCAACTACCTGTGTGATTTCCTAGATTCTTTTCATGACAGTAGTGCACAGAATTTCACTTCGTAGTTGTGGACACTATAGCTATGACAACTTAACTTAAACAGAAGCAGATGTGCTCAAAATAATCTGGAATGTTTCTCTGCTATATGAAAAAAAAAACAGTACCACATCAAATGAACACAATCTTGCTCATCATCTTTACGATTTAATATTTTTAAGAGCCCATTGAACGTATGTGCAAAGCTAAGGCAATTGAGTGCAGCCTTATGAGCTTTGGCACATCTTTTTGTAAACTTGTATGAGCTAAGCACAGTTGTTAAGACAAAACAGTTCTGGGTATAGTTCGTAAACTGTCACAAGACACAACTAAATGTCGGAAAGCCTGTTAATCCCGCTGACTTGGGGAAGGTTCATATTCTAATGCAATTAATGATTTCTAACAATTTACATGCCAACCACAAAGTGATCATGAGTCGTACAATAGTGGGCAAATTTAAATCAATTCTGGCTTCCACAGGTTGAAACAAATGATATTGTAGCCTCGCAGGAGACCAGAATGCTTGTTGATACATTTGTTCCGACATTTTGTATTCAGATTTTTCATATTTTCAAACTTCCATCTTTTAAGGGTCAGCTTAGTTTCCCTGCACCAATGAGAACTGGTTCACAGCTGTGCACGAGAAGTTCAGAATTTGTGCAGCACGAGTTCAGCAGTGCGGCATCACAAGTGAATGACATGGTCCTGACAAGGTGAAATCCTTATTTTTGTTCGCTTAATTTAATGAGGTGCAAACATCTTGGCAAAGCACACCGCACTTGTCAAGGCGGGTACGGCACCTACGTCTAATGCTATGTTTTTCCTTTTTAAAGAAATATACTTCCTTAGTGCGCAGAGAACGTTTTCAGAAGGAAGATAGAGCCGAGAGATAGGCTCTATCTTCCTTCTGAAAACATTCCTTGCGCACTAAGAAAGTATATTTCTTTCAAAAATGCAATACCAACCAGCCCAAGTAGCCACTCTTTTGTTGTAGTGCTATGTTGTTTGTTAAGCTGTGCGTGCAGCTCCACCAAACCAGTGCCATCAGAGCAGGAGGTACAGGAAAATCATGAACTAGTTTTAGTACTGTACCTCTCCTGCGCTTTTTTAAATAAATGGCACGGTTTAGAGGGTGCCATTGCTGCACCACTGAAACGAATGGCGAGGTACAACACTTTATAAAATGGATCATGTGGTGCAGGCGAATCTAACAAACCCTTAAGCACACGAACGTCTTAGCATTTCACCCCCATCGAAATATGGCCACTGTGGCTGGGAACAAACCTGTGTTGTTGAGCTCAGCAGTGCCTCAGAATCTAAATAATAGTGTTACAGTTTCAACGTTATTGAAGTGTAGATTCCATGCCACGCTAGACAGCCAATGCTCGTGGCCAATCTAAAGCACCCCTCCACGATATGCGTGGTAAAGCATTCACAAATACAACATTGCATGTGTGAGATTCGAGATGACCTGTTGTAGTGGACGTTCGGATGTTTCAACGTGCTCGCAGAGTGGACATGCGGAGGTAGACATCCTGTTGTTGCATGGCAGTAGGGAAAAACAAGTAACATTACCAGATATCAATGCATGAAATTTTCCAAAGAAATTAACTCAGTTAACTAGTAGACAACAGTACTTTATACATACATGTAATGGTACCTAGTAACACATGTATCACTCGGGGCTGCTTCTTCACAAGGCATGTCATGTTGCAGGTTCCTTCCCCATTGTACACAGCTGCTTCCATGTCAGGTAGGCCAGGAGGCTGTGGCAGAAAAAGAAGTATTTCTGATTAATGTGACTCTTTATTTGTCACACTATAGCAAAACCACACCCATAATTATGTGATGTTTCTCAAATGCGACTGTGGTAAACTATTAACTCGTAGGTTTTTTGCACTAATATATGGGCTAGCTACGAAGACACATGCGAGGCGACAGTGATGTACTTGCCTTCTTTCATCACAACGGCCTGGTTTGTATTACCTGGCCATATAATTTCAGAATTAACTCTTGAGTCAGCGACTCGTTCCTACGTGAAGCTACGCCGCAAGTAACGCACGTTCTTCCGGTGACAAATTGAGACGTTAAAAAATTTTAAAACTTAATATTGCAATGCGCTGCCGCCATGTGACATCTATGCAGTCATTGGCAAAAAAACTACGTATGTTGAAATGAACCAACTAGCCCAGCAAGCAACCGTCCTTAAAAAACTGAAGTGGTTTCTACTCACCGGCCCAGGAATGCAGCAGTGATGAAAAATAGGGCACTGTGGAATTACAATAGGTATGATGTTGTGAGAGGAATATGGAAAAGGGTCATGGTTCCTGGGCTGACGTTCGGCAATGCAGTCTTGTGCATGAGATCAGAAGTTCAAGCAAGATTAGAAATTAAGCAACATGGAATAAGTAGGCTTGCTTTAGGAGCTCACGGGAATATACCGAATCAGGGAGTACAAGGTGATATGGGATGGACATCATTTGAGGGCAGGGAAGCAAGCACCAAGATAAAATTTGAGAAGCGATTGAGAGAAATGGGGGAGGAGCGTTGGGCTAGGAAGGTTTTCAGCTACTTGTACATGAAGAATGTCGATACCAAATGGAGGAAGCGAACCAGGAAGTTGACTGGTAAATACTTAGAAAACAGCAGGTGGCCAAATCAAAAAGAACTATCGGTTAAGAAGAAAGTGAAGGAAACGAAGACTGACATGTGGAGAATAGGCATGATTAAGAAGTCCGCACTAGAGATCTATCGAACTTTTAAGCAGGAAATTGCCAAAAAAAGGATCTATGATAATACTCGGGGTAGTTCTCTACTGTTTGAGGCCAGGACGGGAGTATTGCGAACCAAGACATATCGGGCAAAATACAAAGGGGTAGACACAGTATGCAGTACGTGTGGAGAGGAAGAAGAAACTGCCGAACACTTGATAATGTTCTGTAAAGGGCTTCACCCTATAGTTCAGGATTATGGCACAGAGTTTTTCAAAGCACTGGGGTTTAGGGACAGGGAGGGCAAAATAGACTTTAAGCGGGTAGACTTAACTAGAAGGAGGTTATCTGACTGGTGGCTAAAGTCAAGGCACGAGTGCAAATTAAACCCTTCACTGCAAAGTACAAATCCTCAACCTCACTATTTAAAGGAAAAAAAAGATGAATCTAATGGTTAGTTGACTGAGTATTACGGCTAGGTGGCGTTAGCCGCCGCCCGATCTAAAGGGTACAGCCACATCCATCCAACTAACCATCCAATAGCGCGAGTGGCGAGAGAGGTCAGTAGATTCACTCTGGGTGTTTTAAGCAGAAACGCGCCGCGGTTGATTTTTTCGACCCCTACAGGTGATTACTTGAACTTGAGAGTTTCCGGGGCCTGCCCGAACACTGTCGGCATAGAGTATGCAACTACTCTGGACAAGAACTCAGAGCGCAATGAAAATGCCACGCTCGAAATGTAAACACGACGAACGCAATCAATCCGCGATTTCTGTAAATGCTGTATTTACTAATCTCAGTACGCACTCCGTCTTAGAAAAAGCATGCATGATACAAGCCGTGCGAAAACGACATGGACAAAGGAGCACTGCGTTTATGGCCTCGACCTTACTCGAAGCTGCCTAATTTGAGATATTTCGTATGTACTACATGACAACGATCATTAGTGGCACGAGCTGTAAGCCAAACGGCCAGTAAGTGAGAAGTTGGGCACTAACCTCCAAGATGCAGAACAGATAAAAAAGCATCGCCAGCCGGGTCCCGTTCCGTGTGTGCGGCCTGGCTTTTGAGGAGGGTAGTCGGGCTATGGTGGCACCATAGTCGGGCTAGTGAGTAGAGTAATGACTGCCGACGGATGAGTGACGAAGGCGGTGCGCCCGCCGCGGTCGAATGGTTCCTCTTTCCGCGATGCCTGCCTAAACCGCCGTTTGGGAACAATACAGTTCCGTAGAATAAAAGCGGTGCAGAACACTCCGCGGCGATGGATGCAATGATGGTATGCGAGTATAAATTTCTGGAGCTCACCCGTATTGAAAATTACTTTGGTCTAATTTTTTTTTTTTGTTTTTGTTGGCGGAGGAGTAACTTGTTTTTTGCACTATTTAGTAAAACAGATTGGTAAACGTGTGCTGTATTCATAAAATTTGCGAAGTGGTGAAGTCTGATTTTTAAACGTGTGCTTTTTTCTGGTGCGTCAGCCTACAAACTTCGGCCGCTCGTTCTGTTGGAAAGAGAGGCTTTACGGCTCTGCTTAGGACTTCCAAAGTATACTGCAAATGCAGTGTTATACCTTGAAGCACAAATACCAACCTTATTATGTCGCTTTAACATTCTTACTGTGCAGACCTTTTTACGACTATATGAAGCACCGTTTAACCCTGAACAAATTATTTTTATTTCCAATCCTGACCTATTCTTCTCCGTGCATTGGCCCAGATTTCACAAACCACAAATAGTATTTGTTCAATCGTTACTTGAGCCTCTAAATGTGCACGTTCGTGATCTGATTCATTTAACTGAGCAACAAAATTCTCCAGAAATTGTTTACCATGATATCTTCCCAACACACGCTAAGCTATTACCTACAGGCATTTTAAATGGTTTATTGCAGGACCATTTAAGTACTCTGCCAACAAATGTCATTATAGCAACGGACGCATCTCAATCACATGAAAATCAGGCGTTGGAATATATTGCCCCGTACTTGATTGGTCATTTTCACTTCGCTTACCGGATTTTCTTCCTGTCTTTCTGGCTGAATTCATGGCAATAATGTTAGCTTTGCGAAAGGTAAATATTTCCATTCCAGTCGTAGCAGTCATAACTGATTCATTATCAGTGTGCTCTTCTCTGACCGCATCTGGTCACTCACCTATAGTGAAACTTTTTAAATCATTGATCCCCTGTCATCTCCGAAGTATTCATTTAATCTGGACACCAGGGCACAAAGTATTTTGTTAAACGAAATAGCTGATTCTCTTGCGAAGGCATCCCTTTCGACACCAATTATTCCTATTTTCCCTCATACAGTATACATTACGGTGGCGCGATTTCGCACACTTAAAATCAGGCAAAATTTATCTGACCCTGCACAAACGGCTTCTCCAGAGTACAAACACTTGTTATTTTACTGGCGCAGTGAACTGACTAATTCAAGAATGATGGAAGTTGTCATCACGAAATTTCGTTGCCGCGTTACCTCCCTCAATTTTTGCTTGCATAGATCAGACATATTGAATTCCCCTATGTGCATTTACTGTAATCAAGAGGAAACGATCAGTCATTTTTTATTACATTGTCGCCGTTTCAATTTATTCAGGCAAAGCATACTAGCACCACCTCTTCAAAGACTGGGCTTGCAACTATCACAACCTGATCTTTCATTTGGAGCCTCTACACTGGGTTTCAGCCACAGGGATGTTTTATTCGCCGTTCAAGAATACATTACTGCGACTAAACGATTTTCTAGCTAAATTACTGTCTCACTATTTTTCTTCTTTTTTTTCTGCAAACTTGATATCGGTATTTCAAATCAAAATTAAGTTACAAAAAATTGTAGGAATGACGCAATGCTGAAAGATTAGGGTAAATTCACCTTCTAATCGGCCAATCCCCTTCTTTGGGTACGAGCCATTTGCACAGGGAAACAACAACAACAAACGTGTGCTATATCCTTGATGTTGGCGAAGGGGTGGAGTGTGTTTATTTCCTAGACACTATGTCCGCTTTTCTGTCCGTAAATGCGCGCAAATTTTTGCAGTGCACCTTTTCGATAACTGGACCTGTAGCTATCAGCAGATGTTGTTTTTTCGTTTGGTGCCACTGCTCATGGGTACAGCCACAGGAATGTTTTCTTTACCGTTCAGGACTATATCACTGCGACTAAAATAATCTATTTTAAACTCGGCGCGCAAACCACTTTTCATTACTAGTATTTGACACTTCAAATCAACAAATATTTACAATGATTACCTACTGAATCCAATAATACCCAAATACGGTAATTATAGTGGCAATTCACCTCCCACCTGGCCAATTCCCTCCAGTCGGAGTGTCTCATGTGGGGAGAAGAAGAAGACGTCGAATACACGCTCGTGCAGTGGAGCACGAGCCGCCACGTCGGTGATCGAGCTGCGATCACGAAGCTGCTTCAGCAACCAGAGTAAGTCCTTTCCACGGCAGCAGCAGGATCTTCGCATCCCGGCAGCGTCGTACAACAGTACCCCAAGCGGAACTGCGAGCGCCTTCGCGAGAGGATCTATGGCAGACTTCGCTACGCCCGGTGGCAGCAGCCCTTCGCGAGGAACCGGCAATGTAAGTGCCAATTTCGAAGCAGCCGATATGACCGCCGTTACCGCGTCGGTGCTGGTGACCAAACATCCTGCCGTCATCGCTACTGCCGGAATATACGCGGATTTCATGGAAGCCTACAAGGCCCATACTATTAGCAAGGACATTTTCAAGCTGATTGATAAATACGCTAGCCTGTGCGACAGTTACTTAGCCAAAGTGAGAGAAGTGACCGAGAGCATGATATCTAGCAAGGACGAGCCGGTGTGGATGGAAGCCATGGCGTGCCAAACATTGCTCACCGAAGAGCGAAACACTTGGAAGCTCACTGGTGCCCTCCTGCGTGACCGTCTCAAGGCTGACCAGTTCATTGGAGAAAGTGGTGACAACACCATCTTTTTTCCCGGATCTCGTGAAGTTAGCGACAAGGAAATCGTGGAGGCCCTCATAGCGAGAGACTCGTTCACACGCCAGGCCATACTCGTCGTCGACTGGTTGGAAAGCTGCGCGACGCATCAGCATGGCATGGGCAATGACGACGACAAGCTCGAGTACTTTGCTGATGCAGGCTGCGCCTGGAAAAACACGCTGCACCATGTGCAGTCCCATGCCGACATCGGTAGTGCACTGTCGTCTTACGTGACTGAACTAGACCCGGACGCGCCCTCGAGGGAGCGGCTACCGATACACGAGCTCGACCGTGACAACGAATTCCGCCTCTTCCGCAGTATATTCTTCCACCTGCGAGCCGGCCAACTGCAGCGGGCTCAAGAGCTGGCTGCCGACAATGGTCATTTTTGGCTAGCCGCCGCGCTCGAAGGATGGAGGCCCTACCACGACCCGAACAACGGCAGCATCTTGGGCGCCAAGACTATGCAACCCGCTGAAGGCAACCTCTACCGGGACCTCTGGAAGCGCGCTTGCTGGGAAGCGGCGTCGAATCCGACGTGTTCGCGGTACGAGCGCGCCGTGTACGGTTCTCTGTGTGGCAACGTACAAGCAATGCTGCCCGCGTGTACCACATGGGAGGATCAGCTGTGGGCTCGCATGCGCGCTGTGGTCGATGTGTGCGTGGAGCAGGGCCTCCGCACTGCTACACAGCAGGCTAGACGCCTCGAACCACTGCCACCGGGATACCCCAGTGACCGTGGAACCTTTGAGGCCGTTTTCCGTGAACTGCAGGTGGCTGTGGGCGCGAGGGAGACGCGAGACCAGAAGATAATGCACATCCTGCAGCGAGGTGTGGTGATGGACGATGCTGTTTCAATGGTCGAAGAGATACACGACTGGGCAACCGCTCAGGCGAACGAACCGCCGCTTCTAACCATGCGATTTCTTGCTCACATGGTACTTTTGCTACGACAAATTAGGCGCTTGACCAGCACTGACGCGTGTAGCGCTCTTCTTTGCACCTACATAGACATGCTAATCAACGAGGGCCATGCCCGCTTGGTTGCCACGTACGCAGCCACTCTACCGGCCACCGACCAAGTCGCCAAGTACTCGCAGCTTGCACAGCCTCAAAACTAGAGACCCCGAATAACAGAAGCTATGCCTTGGTCTGGCACACTCTTGTAAAAAAAATAAAAACTTAGCAAACAGCAAGTAAATGAAGTATTTACTTGACTCCAGTGTATATTACTGCCTTCCCAGCATACCATTACTAACTAGCAGCTGGTAAAGTTTGTAACTTTTGCCGCTACTAGCCACGGAAACTTTCTTAGCTTTTTCAACTAACTACTAAGCCACCTACGTTGCCAGATCTTTTGCAGATTCTCCAGTATATTTGCCGTAATCACGAAACTTTTAAAGAATATTTTGACTGAGGTAAATTTCATTGACTACTTTAGAATAGAAGTTTCATGCTATGCGATGGTACAATGGAACACGCTGATGTGTAGAAAATATCAATTATTCTCAATTATATGGCTGCTAATCGGTACACGTTGTGCAATCTTTAAGTAGGGGCATCAATAGCCTTCATGCTGCTGCTAGAGAAGAAATCAGGTATGTCAAAGTCGAAATTCCGTGTACGTGTTTTCTTGTGTGTTCTCGCTTGTGATCCGTTCATATGAGTTCGCATACGCATATGATCATATACTCATATCTCATCACGTGAGTACGATCTTAAGCGAGTATGATGGATCATATGACTATGTGATCACTTTTATGTGTGTACGTTGCTACGATGCCCTATTGCTATGGTAGTTACATAAAGTAGTTAGCAGCCATTAATATATATTTATATACGAAGGCAATGCCTCTTCGTTTTCAAAAACGATAGCCTTTCTTGAGATACTCCAATAAACAAATTTGGTCTGTCTGCTGGTGTCTGTCCAAGAATGAAGCCACCCGGCTAAAGTTCAAGGCAGGGCTCAAAGTCCACCGAACTTTATATGGCGGATGCATTCATATATACTTGTGAATATTGTCAACCAAAAGATTATATTCCGCATATTTGAGATGCAACATCAATACGTAAGTGTATGGCAGCGTGGCCTTTTGTTTAAAAGATACATAGATACGTACGTAATTCAAAAGACCAAAGTGTTTACTATGCTGCGCTGACAATGCGAATCTTAGAAAGAAGGAGCGAGTTCTATCTTCACTAAAAAAGTCAAGATACTTTACTTAAACTAAATATCAAGGGGCTTTAACTGAAACGACCTGGTGCTGCCACCTACCAGTGTTTCTGCGTTCTAAACAACATTCCTTTCTTCACGTTATGATCAGATGGCGCAATATTTGATATATAGGGTTTAACGTCCCAAAATCACCATATGATTAGGAGAGACGCCGTAGTGGAGGGCTCCGGAAATTTCGACCAAGTGGGGTTCTTTAACGTGCGCCCAAATCTAAGGACACGGGTATACAGCATTTCCACCTCCAACTGAAATGCAGCCGCAGCAGCTGGGGTTAGATCCCGCGACCCGCGGGTCAGTAGCCGAGTACCTTCGCCACTAGACCACCGCGGCGGGGGAGATGGCGCAATATTTAACGCAGCCCCTGCAGTCTGAAAACTATTGTCTTTCGGCGTCCTTTGAAGCACAACAAGGAGATATATGGCCAATGTTTTTATCCCTTACTTTTGTAATAGAATCATCTTGATATGAAAAACACGCGTGTATAACAAAATAGGTGTAAATCTTTATTTAACGAATTTAAATCCACTAGAGTTAATACGGTAACTAAATGGTTACCACGATCGACTGCAATGCGTTACAAGTAATGCCATTACCGGTAATCCCTTACGTTTTTGGTAACTTAGTAACGTACTCATTACAATTTTAGAACTGTAACGGGTAACGTACATACGTTACAATTTTTCAGTACCGGGCGATGTCACGTTACTCGTTACTTTTAAATGCGAAGCATTTCTCAGTGAACTCCCGCGATTTTGAGCGTATCTATCTATCTATCTATCTATCTATCTATCTATCTATCTATCTATCTATCTATCTATCTATCTATCTATCTATCTATCTATCTATCTATCTATCTATCTATCTAGCCGCCTACGACTTTTAGCTCTCCTGGCCGTTTCAATAATGGCATCGATACCAAAACTCGTATGGAGTGACATGACTTTATGACGAGCAAAATTAAGTAGTCTTAACATAAAAATCATGACATGTATGTCGTGAATGTCATAGTTTACATTTCATCCTCTTGCTGCTCTTGCGGTGCTTTGGTTCACATGACATATTTCAAAGTTGGGATGATATGACATGACTGCATGGCGAACATAAGTGAGAGAACCACTCATGAAAATCATGATATACACGTCATGTAAGTCATGACTACACGTCACGCTCATGGTGCGCTCGCGCCCGTTTCGATACGTTAACGTAGTCCAAATTTCTTATTACGGGACGTGAATGGATGACGAAGGTAGGACTGCTGCGAACATGACACTGAGAAGATGCGTGTCATGTAAAATATGACTACATGCTACGCTCATGGTGCGCTCGCGGTCGTCTCGCTAGCCTCACATATACCAAATTTAGTGTTACGCGACCTCGATGGATGATGAAGGTATATGACTGGTGAAAACATGATAATCATGTCATTTAAGAACATGACAACATACCACACTAACGATTCGCTCGCGGCCGTTTCTCTATAGCTTCAGATATACCAAATTTGGTGTTACATGACGTGAATGGACGACGTCCAAACATTATGATCATGACAAGCATGTCATGTAAAGCATGACTACATGCTACGCTCATGGTGCGCTCGCGGTCGTCTCGCTAGCCTCACATATACCAAATTTAGTGTTACGCGACCTCGATGGATGATGAAGGTATATGACTGGTGAAAACATGATAATCATGTCATTTAAGAACATGACAACATACCACACTCACGATTCGCTCGCGGCCGTTTCTCTATAGCTTCACATATACCAAATTTGGTGTCACATGACGTGAATGGACGACGTCCAAACATTATGATCATGACAAGCATGTCATGTAAAGCATGACTACATGCTACGCTCATAGTGCGCTCGCGGTCGTCTCGCTAGCCTCACATATACCAAATTTAGTGTTACGCGACCTCGATGGATGATGAAGGTATATGACTGGTGAAAACATGATAATCATGTCATTTAAGAACATGACAACATACCACACTCACGATTCGCTCGCGGCCGTTTCTCATAGCTTCACATATACCAAATTTGGTGTTACATGACGTGAATGGACGACGTCCAAACATTATGATCATGACAAGCATGTCATGTAAAGCATGACTGCATGCTACGCTCATGGTGCGCTCGCGGTCGTCTCGCTAGCCTCACATATACCAAATTTAGTGTTACGCGACCTCGATGGATGATGAAGGTATATGACTGGTGAAAACATGATAATCATGTCATTTAAGAACATGACAACATACCACACTCACGATTCGCTCGCGGCCGTTTCTCCATAGCTTCACATATACCAAATTTGGTGTCACATGACGTGAATGGACGACGTCCAAACATTATGATCATGACAAGCATGTCATGTAAAGCATGACTACATGCTACGCTCATAGTGCGCTCGCGGCCGTTTCTCTGTAGCTTCACATATACCAAATTCGGTGTTACATATGACGTGAATGGACGACGTCCAAACATTATGATCATGACAAGCATGTCATGTAAAGCATGACTACATGCTACACTCATAGGGCGCTCGCGGCCGTTTCGCTAGCTCCACATATACCAAATTTGGTATCTTGTGACGTGAATAGACTAAAAAGGTGAATTTTACGTTCAAACATCATAATTATTATATGCGTGTCATGTAAAACATGACTACATGCTACCTTCATAGCGTGCTCACGGCCGTTTTGCTTGCTCCACCTATACCGAATGGTATCCTGCGAATTGAATAGTCGGCGAAGGCAAATGATGCTTCCAAACATGATAAATATGATTTGAAAGTCATGTACGGCATAATTTACATCCGCCTTGTAACTTTGTGCTCATTTGAAAGATATATATGCACCGTCCTCATTCGTGCTTCACATATCATCGTTTTCTACTGTTCGTGGGATGTACCATTTTGGTTTTAACATTTTCATTCCATAATTTGTTTGTGACTGGGGCATAGACCATGCTTCACTGTGACGGGTGGTGTCGGTAGCTGTGTTTATATGTATGTATATCTTCAAACTCGCTTATGCGCGTTCTTCGTTCTAAATCAACTGCGTAGTCGAAATAACCAGGTCTAAACCGAAACATGATGCCGCTGTGCAGACAGCATAGTCAGTGGAAGAGGTGCGTTTTACGGTTGTGTACATCCACATATCATCGGGGGTTTTACGTCCCAAAACCATGATATGATTATGAGGGACGCCATCGTGGAGGGCTCCATAAATTTCTGTCATCGGATGTTCTTTAAAACACACTAACATCGCACAGTATCCACGCTTCCACTATTTCACCTGCATTTAAATGTGACCTCCGCGGCCAGGGTCGAAAGCGCGGCTTTGGGGTCAGTACCCGAGGACTGTATACCAACTACATCACGGCCGCGGACGGTCGCATATATGGATATAATTGGTTTCATTACTCTTTCACGAAGAGTTATAAAAACAAGAGAAGACGAGCTGTATAGCATAGGATGCACGAAATGAAATACAGTATTTCAAACTTTTTTGATATGGGCTCTATAACGTAAATAGCGCTATTTAAAGTGAAGTGTATGATTTAAAATGCTCAAATTTAGATAATGATTCAGCAATTTCGTCCCTGTAATCAATTTCGGACTTTATTTCTGCTTCTTTTTGAGCTCTCAAAAAGAGTGTCCCTGGCAGAGAATACGGCACGGCAAGTTGCCTTCACGCTATAGCGCAACAACAACAACAACAAAAAAAAAACGAAATCGCTTCTAAGTGACACCAGCAAATATTAGCGACGTCAGCCCTGTCTCTGCATATTCTCAAAGCTTTGGGCTCAGTACCCGAGGACTGTATACCCACTACATCACTGCCGCGGGCGGTCGCATATATGAATATAATTGGTTTCATTACAC